TCTCTCTCTCTCTCTCTCTCTCTCTCTCTCTCTCTCTCTCTCTCTCTCTCTCTCACACACACACACACAAATTTGTGTTTCTATCTTTATTAGGAGAGTTTTTTCTTTTAATTTCCATTCTTGTCTGAAGCCAAACCATGGCCCTTATCCTAAACTTGTCTTGTTCCAACCTAAACCCATTTCACATCTTAACCCTTAACCATAAACCTTAGCCTCAAAAAGGGGTTCCACCAATAAATGTACAAAGAAAAATCACAAATCAAGCACATACAATATTGCACCAATGTCTATAAGATCCATACCTTACCCTACTAGAAAACCCAAAGTAACATCTAACAAGGTTGATTCATATCCTCTGGATTGGTTCTTCGTTGAAATTTTTTGTCTCTTCTCCAAGGGACTTCTTCAGTCTGAGGAGTTGCAGGTAAACTCAGCCCTATTAGCATAGCGGATCAACATGTGTAACAACGACAACTAAAAATGTTCTCATGCATAAGAGGACCATCAGCCTAATGATTGTTGGGGCCCTGATTATTTCTTTTGTCCACAAAGGGCTGAGTCATWCTCACAGTGACAGCACTTTAAGAGGGGTACAACTGGACATGGAGACCTTCCCCCATTTAACGATGAATGATTTTGTTTCACAAAAATGTCTTCTCTCACTTACTCTTACTCTTTTCTCAAATCAGCGTTCTTCTCTATCAAGGATGAGAACGTCTTCATCACTGAAAGAGTGACCACTGGTCTGTAGATGAGTGTAAACTGTAGAGTCCTGGCCTAATGAGGTTGCTCTCCTGTGTTRAACCATCCTTTTGAACAATGGCTGCTTTGTTTTCTTGATGTCTGGTCACAGTTTTCCTGGAACTTAACAGCATACACAACATTACTGTATTTGTGCCTGAGGACGAGATCTTTGGGGTGAACCAGACAGCTGTAATGTGCTTTGAGGTTTGAAAGCAACCGGGACGTCATGTTTAGAGAATAAATGTCTTAGTTTCTCTGAAACTCCAGTAACAACTAAAGATGTACCTTGGAGAGGAGACTAAATGTTTCATTGAAGAAGAACCCATCCAGAGGACCTGATTCAACTTTGTTAAACTTTTCTTCCTGGGTTATTGCGATGCTTCAGGGCATCTATAAGGAACTGCTGTAATATGTTTAAAAGTTTGAATATCTCAGGCTCTTGTTGACTCATGGTAGGATGAAGTAGTAGATTAATGGCTCAGGAGCGTAGGTTTTGTGTGGTAAAGAAGGAGCTGAATCAGAAGGCAAGTCTCACGATTTACTGATCTGTTAGTTATACATTCTGGCTCTCACCTAGGGTGATGACATTTGGATCATGATCCCAGATACAAGTGGTTGGAATGAGCTTCCTTCTTAAGGCAGACAGGCTCAGCCTTAGAGATAAGACAAGGAGCTCTGTCATCAGAGAAGACTTGAGCTGTTCCTTATTCAGGAATCAGCTGAAGTGGTCCAGACGTCTGATTAGGATGTCTCTTAGACGCCTGCCTCTGGAGRTTTCCTAGGGTCCTCCCATTGGGAAGAGACCCTGAAGAGACTCAGACATTTATGGAAGGATTTTAAATTGTCTGGGGCCTGGGATTACCTCAGGAGCTCCCAGGAGAAGCATATCTTGGACCTGTTAGTGCCATAAACCAATCACATATAAGTAGAAGAAAACTGATTCAAGTGTGAATTTAAAACAAGTTGTTCTTTGCATAGACACACCAAATCATCCCCAACCGAAAATTATGTTTAGGGTTTAGGTTCAGGTTCAGATTTATTCGGATCCCAAAAGGGCAATTAATGTTACAGCACATGCATAATACTTATACATACAAAGACTTAATTAAAAAGTTAAAAAGTTAAAAACCATGTATACAAAAATTTTAAAAGGTTATAACGAATTAGATACAATACAGTTTGCCAAAACACAACAAATATAAATCAGTGAACAGTTACTGCTAACATTGGTATCATTGGTATCAAGGAGCACCAACATTTATCCTAGAAAACTTTCCAAGAAGCGGAGTGGTTAAGCAACATAACTACCTACCTACCATTAAATAGTTTAATATACATACATACTTATACATATATATAT